CGATTCCCGGGAGAAAAATTTCCTGGCGCGGCACAAGGAGCCAACTTTCCTTGCGGTGGACGAAGCAATTGACTCAATGTATTTGTTCCATCTCAGGTCAGTAGACAAGGTGAGACCGAGCAACCGCAGAGAGGTGCTCTCGGGAAGTTGAGCGTCAGACGTTCTAATGGGGGGCAGGGAAGGATCTCTGTGGTAATTAATAGAGAGCAGTTTTGTTTTGAAGCCGTTAAAGTTAACCAGCCAATTATTGCTCCAGTTCACAACCGATTGGAGGTCCTTTTCAAGACGAACGGCCAGGTTATTTTTGTCAGTGACATTAGATTTGTTTTTGAGGCAGGAGTAAACTGTAGTGTCGTCCGTGTAGATGTCTACAATTTTCTTGTCAAGTGTCCTGATGAGTGATTGAAAAATTACAAAACTCAGAGTTGATCTTCGATAAGTATTCAGCATTATTATATCTAATTTAATAATAATTATCACTCTAATCTAACATTAGGCTTATGCCCACATCATGTTGAAATATTCGTTCCCGTACAATCACTGAGTTTAAGCAACTGGACTCTACCTAGATAGGTGATTGCTGGGGAATACCAGGTGCTGTAATTTTGGATGTGCAGGTGGTGTTATGGATTATGGCTTGTTAACTGGAGAGACTGAGTTTCAATCCCAGTTGGGTTTGTTACATGCAAATACCTTTGAGAAAAGGTATCAATCTACCTCTTCTCCTCCAGCTATGGGTTAATTAGTAAGACTTGTATCACTAAATCATTATTATCTCAAAAAAAATTCTTACAATCTAAAAATATTTTCTGGCTGTAAATAACCAGGAAATTGTTGATGAGCCAGAAAATCAATCTAGTCTTATTTTGAGCAATTAGCAAAAATTCTGTTAAATTTTATATATGCTATATAATTTTATGCTTATAAATTGCTAGTATTATTATTTTATTATATATGTATCATCTTTTCAAATCTATCACCATTTACTTCAAGATATCTCTATTTTCTGCTCAATATGTCTGGGTTTATTATAAAAACAGAATCTATACAAGTGCTTTCTTCTCTAACTGCAATGTACAGCTTTGCTGGGTACTGAAATCAAAAAACATTCAGTTTCAAAACCAACAGAAGTATTTTCTTAGAAGCTGTAGGCATTGATAGATTCATCACATTTTGGTCCAAAGTTTTTTTATTTATTTTTATCCCTGTAAATCAACAGGCATTGAATATAAAGAAAAAAGTGATGTTTCAGATTAAAGTTCTGCAGAAGGTAAGCATCTTTGGAAATCGATAAAAAAGAAATATGACACATAATTTGTATATACTTTTATTTAACATGTGTATGTGTGCATGTATGCATACATATATCTTTGCTTTAACCTTGGGAATACTGTATTTTGACTGGGAAGAGTAAACGAAAAGAAAGTTTTTTAATAAAAAATATGCATTAATCATACTTGCAAAATCCTCAGTTTTCCTTAAGTAACATTTTGGATCATTGTTATTGTAAATGCTGAACAGTGATGACAAAACCTCAAAGTGACACAGTTTCTGATTTTCTGTCAGTCCATCTTCAATTAATTTGTCCTTATTTATAAGTGGACTAACATTCTCATCTTTTTCGCTTTCTATAAAGTGTTTTCAAGGACTCAAGATAAATCTTTCCAAAACAGAAACTATGATTTGAAATTAATAGGAAAGCAGTAATAGCACCTACCTTGAATCCATCTTAAAAATTCAGGATGTGGAATTAGCAAATACTTAACACTTCAAATACCACAGTCTATAAATCATTTATAGCAAATTTAGTATAGGAGAAAAGGAAATTGAACATAGAAGAGGTTGTGTCAGAAGTAGTTTTAACCAAATTGCTACAAAACCAAAACATTAACCTGAAAACTTGAGTCATGTTTTTAAATAGCTTTGTCAGATTGAGACTTTCATATGAATGCCATGCATGGTGTTAAATCTGTTCAGAAATATCTAAACTGTCAGCTGTATAAAACTTCTTTCTAAGATTGTAATTGTAAAACATGGCTTTGAGCGAGTAAAGTAAAAGAAAAACTGAGGCTTTTGGTAAAAACCATCCTTCTTTGAACTTTCTTGACTGGTGCTATAGAATCACAAATGAAGAATGGTACCAAATAACAGAAACCACATCACTTGAAGACTTTCAGCATGAATTAACTAAAATGGATAGCACATATAACTTGAAGAGAAAATAATGATATAATCAAGATGTTGACATTTAACACTGCTTCATTATAAAAGGGTAGAAAGGAAAGACCCCCATCAATAATGGAAAGAGCTATAACAGCTACTAAACTTGAGAAAACTATTTTGCTGAAAAATTGTTTTAAGTGAAAGATTTTATAATCTTTATATGCTTGGTTAATGAATGTCAAGTGAGGTGTGGCAAGCCTCTCACCTGCTCTATTGCTATTGCATGGAAAGTGCTCAGATGAACTGCATAACCTGGTTCCATCAGTTCTAACCTTCACAGCTACGACCTCCCATGTCACTCCCATTTTAGCAAACCACCCACATTCCCTCTGTATTCCGCTGTTGAGAAGTAAGTTCCGCTTGAACACCTTCACACAAACTACTGCTCTGTGGAATTGATTCCCAAACAGATGCTTCCCTGATCACTATAATCTTAACCTGTTCAAGTCTAGAGTTAACCATTATCTTCTCTTCCTATAAAATGCCTCTTACTGTAACCCCCTACCTCAAATGGACCCTGGGCTTTGTACAGGGTGAACCTTACTGTAAAAAAAAAAAAATTCAAAACATTTCCTTATAAGGAAATGGTTAATATGACCATTACCATCACATTTTGGCCACTGTGTTCTCCAGCTTTCTTCAGGTATATTTCAATTGAGCTAAGCTTTGGGGAATTTTGAATTGATTTCTTTAATTAATCTAAAAGGATAGAGTCTTTTTATTCCACTGTTAATGTCTAAGGATATCTCATCTTGGTTGATTGTTTCTTTAATACAAAGTTCTGTGTCCAGTGAATCTGAGTATATTTGAACTACTTTGTCTATGGATTGAACTCATAATGACTATAGCACCAGATTCATACTTTAATTCTCTAGGCTATTATCCCATTGGATAATTCCAAAGCTAGAACTTTTACTTTTTCTGCTGCTGTGGCAGCCTTGCTGTCAAGCTTGGCTTCTTTAGCCACCATTTCTCTTTCTGTTTGTATTTATTTCTCCCTGCAGTTCTATTTGATGTGCTTCAGTGTTATTAATTGCTTGTATTTCTGTTGCATGATGTTCATTGTTTCTTAATTAATGGCTCCCTTATGGAAGTCATTAATTTGTCTTATTTAATTATCTTTTCTATCACAAGTCATAGGAGAAATTCCAAGAACTTTGTATTGTTCTTCTTCTCTGAGACCTTTCAGGATGTGGGCAATCATGGCTCTCCATAACTTCCTGTCCTTTGTAGCTCTTGACAATGATTGTCTTTCTGCTGTCCTTTCTATTCCAAGTCCTGCAATCTATTTATAACAGCTCATTAGGCTGGTTACTCATTGTTTGCCTCTACTGCCATCAATATATCCTGCATGTATAAAATTTTCCAAGCCTTCTTTTCTCATTATGTATCCCAGAATTTTCAACTGTTTCATTCTGGTTTTGTGCATAATTGTACTTTTCGTTTCCATTTTCATGACAACTTCTTCATTGCTCTTTTCAAGGTATTCTCAGCATCTTTTTGCCAAACTACATCTCTGTTGCCTCAAGTCTCCTCCTTATCTGTGAAGAAATTGTTCATCAGCCACTGTCATATAGGAGGACTGATATTGCACTCCCTCCTTCTTTTCTTTGTTTCTAACCTTCTACAATTGTTCTCAGTTGCTAATGATTGATGACATTAATATGATTTCTTCAAGGTTTGTTTTGCATATTCTTGTCACTGGGGATAAATTTCCAAAGCTGCTATTGTATTGTTTTTTTTCATGAGCAATTTCCTCCAATCTGATGTTTCACTCTGATGCAACTGCTTGGGCACCAATTTGACATCATACAAAAGATAAAGCTTGCTCCACAGACAACATTTTCACTATTAAAATAAATATACTTAGCACTTCTTCTGAAAAGTGAGGCACCGTAATAAAACTTGCAGACTTGCAGTATGAAATGATTCAATATTGTCTACTATCAGGTCTGTCTAGAATATATGCAGCTGTTTTGATTGTCTCAAGAACCACAGCATTAATGAGACTTGAAGAGAATCTTACTGCACATATGTGAATATACACTCTCCTGTAGGGCCACTCAGTGACCAATGAAATAGTAAGTGAGCTTGTGTACTGAGTGATCATTATCTTCATAATTCCCAAAAGAGTAAATTTATCCCATTTCAAGTAGGTTTTTTTGAGTGAACCCAGGTTTGTCTGTCCCACCCTACAGTCTAGGTTTGGCTCCCAGTAACTACTGGCTTTTTTCTGAAGTTAAAATTACCATTAAGAGGGATAGAATGACCATGGATAAAATTAAGGAGAATATGAGGCAGCTGATGGCAACCATGGAAGAGGACTTTGCAGATTGTTCTGAAAAGTGGAAAGGATTCTGGGTTAAGTATTTAATTGAAGTGAACTAAGGCACTATTGCTCCAGGTAGGCTGTTTTTCATTAACATTAAGTAACTTTCCTGACAGATCATGTATAGATTGTTTTACATATATCCATTACCATACATCCTTGATTGCACTCCCACTGGTGCATACACACATTTACTCTGCTGAAACAAATCTGTAATGAAAACACTGTGTCTACTGGATTTGCCAAAAGCTAAAATTGCCATTGAAGTATAAATTTCAGCTCATAGATGAGATTAAGGAGAATGCAACCGGGTAGCTGATGGTAGTCCCAAAAGAAGATTTTGCAGAATGTTTTGAAAAGAAAAAACAACACTAGGATAAGTATGAGAGGTCACCGAAAGATTACTTTGAAGGAGACAAAAGTGTCATTGCCCTAGGTAGGCTTGGTTTATGGCCACATCACATTGAAACACCCGTTCCCATATGATCACCAAAGTTAAGCAATGTTGAGCCTGGTCAGTACCTAGATGGGTAACTGCTTGAGAATACTAGATGCTGTAAG